ATATATATATAGTTTTGCTTTTAGATACAAGGGCCTCAATTTAATTTGTGCAGTTTTGAATTTATTTTTAACTAAATGCTTTTTAATAGTCTTTTTCCATGCAACAAGTTAAAAAGTTTATTCCTAGAATATCCCCGCCCCCCCCAGCTCCGATCCTATATAACAATAAACACAGTAATATGGAATTGCCATGAGCATACACAGTACTTACCTGCATGTATTCATATTCTGTAGGGCTTAGTTCAAGTTCTTGACTAGGCGGAATGAGTAGACACACAGTATGTTTTTTAGAAGCAGTGATATGCATAGAATGTTACTAGTAATCCTCCACCCAAATGCAGTAAATCAATGAATGTGAATACAAACACCCATCGCTACATAAATACATAAAGATATACATGCAAAACACTTGAGCAGATCTTTGCCGTTTTAGTCCATATGAGTGCACTTATTTCGCAGCTCCAGTGCCATCCAGTGACGTCAATGACCCAGATATCATACATTTACCTGCAGCAACATGCACAAGTGTGAACAGTTCCTTATAGATCAGTGGATTATTTATACATGTCCATTTATTAATTTATTCCACACATATTAACCTATATTTCATAAGTCTGAAAAAAGTTTGCATGATGCTCCAACATTACAATGAGTATGCAAAGTCTTTTTAGAATATGAAACAAATAATATATACAGTGTAAAACAATGAATATGCACAATCAACATGGTTGCTAGTTGTCTGGGTGCTGTAAGACCTGTTGGTGGAAATTCAGAACAATAGTAAAAGGATACTTGTAATGTAGTTGAAGAAGTTTTCATACTGGAAATTTCCTTGTTGACATATCTTCCCTATTGCTTTTAGAAATAGGACCTCTCCTTTAGGCCAGTCATGCTGCAGTAACACAATGAGATGTCCCAGAGTCATGTCATCCCTATTATCGGACAATGCTCGGAGCTACAAAAGAAAACAAAACGCATACAGTCAATATAGACCATAAAGACATCATTTTATATATTACATGGAGGAGATGGAAAAAAACTTTTAACCATACTCTACTTTTAAATCAAACACTATATGAAAGACCTCTTCTGCAAGCTGTAAACAACGTAAACTTCAGACATCAAGGTGGCAGAAGAGACAAGAGTGAAAATGCGTTTAAGGTGCCCATAAGCTCTTCGATGTTCGTTCGGAAAACTTCCACGAATGGTCTTTGGAACGAAAATAGATCAGTTAATGGGACACCAACAATTTTTTTTTTTTACTGTAATCCTGCTCAAATTTTCAGGATCTGTCAGGCTGGAAAACTTTTTTCAAAATGAATGAAAATCAATCGCAACATGAACGCTGCACACGCGCAAAAGAAAGTGTTCTGTCGATCGACCAATTTCGGTGAGTTACTATTGCTAACGAATAATAATTGAAATCGATATTGGTCTGTGCATAATGGGATATTTGAGCTAGAATCAAACGCAGGATTTTAGCAGCAACGAAAATTCCCAGAAATGTATAGGTGTATGGCCAGCCTTACTCTGCAGATCTCAGCTACGATCTCTCTGTGAACATTTTCAATGTTAAAGTGTATGTAAAGCCAAAACTTATTCTTTTAGTTCTGGATAGAATGTGGGATTGTTTTGACCCTGTCAGGTTTTTTTTTTTTTTCTATGCACCATGGGGAAAATTTGCCTACAATTCCTGTACAGACAGCAGAAGTAAAAGGGGATGTCTCCAAAGTAAGGGGAAATCTCCTTTAAGACAGTTGTAACCAAGCAGGTTTCCCTATTTTAATAAATTTGCAACAGCATTCTGTTATATATATATATATATATATATGGGTGGCAGCATGATGGGTGGGCTTTAATGCTGAACTGCTGCATATATGCCTCCAGACAGCTCCGTTGTTCTGTGTTGAGTGTGCGCTCACAGCACAATGACCAAAGACAGCTCCTAATCATGATTTACAATCAGGAGCCCCTGGGACAGGTTCATGATCATGTGACCAATGTGAAAGTCAGTCACACTGATCACATGTTCAGTTCAGAACCCTTAAAGGCCTGCCTGGAACCAGCAGCAAATGGGTTAAGATTTGCCCTCACTTCCTGTGATAACACAATGGTTACCAGGGAAGATATTAGGCCTGAATCTCCCAGAAGGAACACCGACAGCAATAAAAACCTGACAGAGGACATATTTCAGTACTTTGTGTCTTTACATACAGTATGTGGTGCACTCACCTTTATACTTGCCACCAACAGCTGAAGACAGTAAGGCATTACATATTTACTAACACAAGGTAAAAGCTGGAGGTCAGAGGCTAAAACACAAAATGAAGAAAAAAAATATTGAGAAGTACGTACAAATAACGTTGACAAGAAATAAATCAACAGCCTAGAGCCTAAAACACAAAAATGAAGACCCCCCTTCCCCCCAAAACAAACACACACATTATTTATGCAGCATCTACGTCTCGTAAATTGACGCCGATATATAAATACCTGTAATAAATAACTGAATAAAACTACTTGCAATTCCTATATTCAAATAAGCTGCAAAACCTTTCAATTATTCAACATTTAACCCCTGTCTATAAAGTAAATGCAAAAATTAATGTGTCGTGTCATGTGATCAATCACTGCCTGCCTTTCTGAAACAGAACAACCTTTTGATATACACACACACATTGTGTGTGTGTGTGTGTGTGTGTATGTACACATACACACATATACTTTTTTTCCCAGGTCAAACAAAATTTAATTTGGGCAATATTGCCATGCAAAAATCGCCCA